CGCCATCCCCAGCAGCGACTTCATCGTGGACGACAGAGCCGACACCACCGTTACATCCTGAAGGTTTGGGTAGAATGTTAAGTTCAGGTGCGAAGCGTCCCTACACCGGTAGGAAGGACTCGTTGTCGACCAAGCGCGGTCGTCTCGCGACAAGCAGAGAACGCGAAAATCGGAGCGGGAGTAGGTCGGGATCAGAGAGCGAGTTCGATTCACGTGACGGATTAGTAAACTCGGGAAGCGAAGAAGGAGGTGAAGGTGTTTTGAGGAGGGTAGTCAGAATGAGTGATAGAAGCGGGAGCCGGAATCCCATGTCTGCTCGTCGCGGATCTTTGAACAATCGTAACCGAGTGCGATTGTCGGACGGTTCACGTTCAAATTCGGCTCGAAGTGAACGGTCGAGAGCACTAAATCAAGGCGAGTTTTTAAATGACCCTGAGTTAAACGAAAATGATCGCGAGGGTTTTAATTTGAACAGTGCCATTGGAGGGCAACGAGGTCACTGCTGTAACTCGGATTCTGCTTGCCGCGAGCGCTCGTATGCGAATTTTCAGGAGCGTATAGCGAGAGCGTTCGAAGACTCGCTTGCGTCGGTAAGACAGACAAGCTTTGCGAATGGGGATGCGACGTTGGTAAATAGGATGACATCAGTGAAAAGACTGCAGCCTTTTTCCGGAGAGCCGCTCGACTGGAGTCGGTTCAAGCAATCGTTTGAATTAGCGACTAGTTTAGGAAATTATTCAGATAAAGAGAATGTGTTGCGATTGTCAGAAGGTAATTCTATAAATATCTCTTCATGCGTGGCACACGCTTTGCTCCAAATCTCCAAGAGAGCATCAATTCGCGAAGCAACAATATTTAAATTTAAAGTGTCACGCGGTTTCTCCTTTAAACGACTAGCAGTTAACTCTAATTCGGCCAAACGCGAATTCTGCAAGGCAGTGAGCACTCGCAACGATGGCAAAGCCATTTCAAAGTCGTACAAAATATGTCCTGCTCGATATCCAAGCCAACTAGCCTTCCCCTTCGTTCTTCAAACGCGTCACGTCCAGCCTGTTGTAACGTCTCTGTCGCGACAGACAAATTGCCAAAATTAGATCTACCGACCTTTGCGGGTCGTTATGAGGATTGGGAAAATTTCTGTGATCTCTTCACCACGTTGGTGCATAACGCTCCACGTTTGGCAGACGCTACAAAACTACAATATTTGAAAAGTTGTTTGAGAGGTACAGCCGCGGACCTCGTGAAAGACGTGACTACTACTAATGCAAACTATGTAACGACGTGGCAGGCGTTGAAGGCTCGCTTTCACAACCCGAGGTTGATCGTTTACAATCATTTGCGGGCTTTAACGGACATTCCGCACGTGAAAAGGGAGTCGGCGTCCGAGATGTGTGCCCTCGCGGATGAATCCCAACGTATAGTTCGCGCGTTATCGAATTTGAGAATGCCAGTTGAATATTGGGACGTGTGGCTCGTGTACCTGATAGCATCTAAGCTAGATTCAGAGTCGCGGAAAGCGTGGGGTCCGAACTAAGTAAAAAAGACCGTCAAGTACTTTCGGACGGCGAGTCTGACGTGTCCAGTGTAGATGCTCTTGCTCGGTTCCCAAAATTCTCCGATTTAACTGAATTTCTGGAAAATCGTGCTCAAACATTCGGTATGCTCGCGGCTGAACGGAGTAGTGGAAACGGAAACCGTCCTGCAGCATCGACAAAACCGGTACCAGGTGCGCGGAAAATCTTTCATACTGCTGCAGTAAATCAGGGAAACCTTAAATGTTCATTATGTTCCGGGCCTCACCGACTTCATAAATGCTACCGTTTCAAGGCTAAAAGTCCTAGTGAACGTCGCGCGGAGATACGTCGGTTGCGACTTTGCTTTAATTGTTTTGGGACGCATAGAGTCGCGGAGTGTCCGTCCTCATATAAATGTGCAGTGTGCAAAGAGAGGCACAATTCTTTGATTCACCAAGTAGCTACGTCTTCCGAGAAGCCTCAAGGTTCAGAAAACAAATCGATCCCTTCGGTTGAAGGTGGAGGCGAGCACTCAATTAAGCCATCGAATGCCAGGGTGCATACTGCCAGCGTGTCGGGGCATAAGCGTTCGGTCTTGTTAGCAACCGCTCAACTTTCACTTTTAGGGCCGCATGGTGCACATACGCGTGTGCGAGCTTTATTAGATCAAGGATCTGAGGTATCCTTCGTGTCAGAGTTTGTTGCGAACCTCCTTGATTTAGAAAAACGTCGCGTTAATGTTTCGTTGACTGGACTCGGAGCCAGCTCTGCGGGTACCGCAAGGGCTTCTACGCGCCTCGTGGTGCAGTCGTTGATTGACCCGGAGGTCAAGTTTGAGACGGATGCCCTCATCGTGAAGAAGGTGACGTCGCAGCTTCCAGCACGCCAGCTTTTGGAAGTTGATCTGGACGTGTTCCACGGTCTACCGTTGGCGGATCCACAATTTTACGTGCCTGACTCCGTTGATGTCATTCTGGGGGCGGATATCTACGGACGGCTACTACGAGCAGGAGTGAAAACCTTTCCCACATCGGACTTGGTGGCACAGGACACTGCCCTTGGGTGGATCCTCTCTGGCTCACTGTCGGAGGAAGGCTCACGGCGGGCGGCAACCCAGGAGCAGGATACACTTCAGGCGCATCACTATGCCGCAAGTGAGGAGTTAGAGGCATCGTTGCAGCGTTTTTGGACCGTCGAGGAATTGCCGGCGTTAAACGCGTCATCCGATCCCCAGGTAGACGCCTGTGAAGAATTGTTTCGAAGAACGCATCGTCGCGATGAGAATGGTCGTTACGTCGTCCGNTAAAATCTCTTCTCGGGATTCTGATGAGGTTTAGACAGTTCGCGTTTGCTATTAAGGCCGATATAAGGGACATGTTCTTGAAAATCAAAATCCGTGAAGAAGATCAGGATGTGCAACGTTTCTTGTGGCGCGGTGCAGACCGAACAAAGCCACCGGAGGAGTATGTTTTCACATCGGTGTTATTCGGTGCAAAATCATCACCATGCACCGCGATTTTTATTAAGAATAAGAACGCGTCTCAATTTCTGTCAAAATATCCCGTAACCGCGAATAGTATCATTGAAAATTGTTACATGGACGATTACTTGCATAGTTGCAGAACGGTTGAAGAAGCCGCGAAATGCGTAAGTGAAGCGATAGAAATCAACAAACTTGCCAATTGGGAGACGCATAGCTGGGCTAGCAATCATGCTGAAATTCTAAACGAGTTGTGTGGGGGAGATTCTACGAGCAATTTAATAAAGACCGTTGATAGCCAAAATAATGATGAGAAAGTGTTGGGATTAAAGTGGCTCAACGCGACCGATGAACTCGCGTTCCGGTTCAATCGAGACAAAATATCAGAGGATTTTTATAACGGTGCGAAGAGGCCGACGAAGCGGGAATTTCTGGGCATAATTATGTCGATCTTTGATCCCCTGGGATTTCTTATACCCTTTACCGTGCAATCTAGGGTTTTAATGCAAAGAATCTGGGTTAGCGGAATCGGTTGGGATGAGCCTCTTCACGATGACGAGTTTGCTACTTGGCAACATTGGTTGAAGGGTCTAGACAGCGTGAAAAATTGTAAAATAGATCGTTGCTACCAACTAAAGAATCAACAAACAACCTTCGCGGAATTGCACATTTTTTGCGACGCCAGCACGAAAGCATACGCAGCAGTAGCCTACTGGCGTCTTGCGTTGAGCGACGATAAATTTCACGTATCAATAATAGCAGCCAAAGCTAGGGTAGCCCCGTTAAAAGTCGTATCGATCCCGCGTTTAGAGTTGCAGGCCGCACTACTCGGAGTAAGGTTGGCAAAAACAATCTCAGACGAACACGATTTCAAAATTTCTAAGCGAGCCTTTTGGTCGGACTCGAAGACGGTGTTAAGTTGGATAAGGAAAGATCCTCGGGATTTCAAAGTTTTTGTTGCTAACAGATTAGGGGAGATTCGTGAGAATTCGAAAGTCGATGAATGGAAGTACATCAATACAAAGGAGAATCCTGCCGATGATGGCACTAGGTCAGTGACAAATGCGTTACAACAGGGCAGCAGGTGGTTACAGGGTCCATCTTTTTTGCGCGAACCAGAAAATCGGTGGCCGGAAGAGAGATCGCAAGTTAAGTGTAGCGAAGACTTAGCTGAATGTTTGAGATCAGAAACTCGAGTAGTTTGTACAGTAGAGAGAGGGAATTGGTTAGTTGAGTTTTCGCGATTCTCCACGTATGAGAGGCTAATGAAAGCGGTCATGTGCGTGATAAAGGTAAAAGACATATTCAAGAAAGTAAAGAGTCGTTCTTCGATAAAAATAAAACTAGAAGCCGAAAAGGTTTGTGTTAGAGTAAGTCAGTCGATTTCGTTTCACGATGAAATAAACGCCATCAAAAGGTCGAAAACCATGCCGAAAAATAGTAAAATATTGCCGTTGAACGCGTTTTTAGATGGTGATAATATTTTACGCGTTGAGGGGCGTCTCAGGCACTTCGATTCCGATGAACTAGACACGCAACCGATAATTTTAGACGCGAAAGAAACGTTTACTCAACTCGTAATAAAATATCATCATGAGAAATTTTATCACGGAAGCCATGAGGCGGTCATTAATGAATTGAGGCAAAGATTTTGGATTGTCGGACTCCGACAAGGTTTGAAAAGCTTGGTGTCGAAATGTAGTATATGCAGAATGCGCCGTGCGCGACCGGCAAACCCGAAAATGGCAGATCTGCCACCTGCTAGATTAGCGTTCAGACTCCGCCCTTTTAGTCATTGTGGAGTAGATTATTTCGGGCCGATGCAAGTAAAAATAGGACGAAGACGAGAAAAAAGATGGGGAGTACTATTCACCTGCTTAACAACGCGTGCAGTTTTCATAGAGCTAGCACACAGCTTAAGTACTGATTCTGCTATCATGGCGTTTCGACGGTTTACCTCGCGAAGAGGCACTCCAGTATGTGTATACTCAGATAATGGCACTAACTTTAAGGGAATGGACAAAGAACTGCAGCAGGCGTTAAAAGACATTAACCGCTCAGAAATCGACAGTTTTGCCGTAGAGAATAATATTGATTGGAAGTTTAATCCACCAACGGCTTCGCATATGGGGGGAGCGTGGGAAAGGCTAATACGTTCTGTGAAAATAGCATTGGCGATAGTTTTAAAAGAGCAAGCTCCAAAAGAGGAGGTCATGTTAACTTTGTTAGCTGAGATAGAACACAGCGTAAATTCTCGTCCCCTTACGCACGTGTCTGTGGACCCGCGTGATGCGGAAGCGTTGACACCGAATCATTTTTTGTTCGGCTCATCGTCGGGTCAGATTAAAATAAGTAGATGCGATGCTCAGTCGGAATGTACTCGGCAGCAATGGCGAGTTGCGCAATATTTCGCGGACGCGTTCTGGAAAAGATGGTTGCGGGAGTATTTACCAACTTTGCTCCCGAGGAAAAAGTGGAGAGAAACAGAGATGCCAATGAAAGTTGGGGACATCGTTTTGATTCTGGACAATAACGTCGAAAGGAATCAGTGGCGAAAGGGCGTAATAGTAAAGGTTTTCTCCGGCACGGACGGACAAGTTCGAGTGGCCGAAGTGAGAACGGCAAACGGGATTTTTAAGAGACCTACTCGAAAATTGGTGAAATTTGCAGAGGTACAAACGCCGTAGAGTTTGTACGGGGGGAGGATGTTCCCGACGTGCGGGAGGGGCTCAGGCGTGGGCAATAAAAAATCGGCGGATGAACGTTTCAACGTGGCTGTGATCAGCCACGAAAGCCGCGTGGTGTTAAGGGCTGGCATAGCTGCCCATGGGCCACTTTTGATTTCCACTCCCTCGGGTTAGTCCCGGTAAATGGAGTGGGCCGCGGGGCGAGGGAAGACTTGGGATCTTCCTTCGCGGACGCGTACGGCTATGAGTGAGGTGTTGGTTCAGGGAAACGTGTCGTCCAGATTGGCTGCCGTGATGAAGCACGGTGCCATTGCTCAGCGTCTGGGTTGTACGAACGCACGATCGGGAAAATTAAGGGTTGAACGGACGCACGAT